GGAAGGAAGGAAGGAAGGAAGGAAGGAAGGAAGGAAGGAGGCGTTAGGGAGAGGCGATCGTCCCAAAGACTCGATTCACAAAAAAACCAACCTTGCGGGTGTGTGTCTCCCCTCCTCCACCTCACCTCTTCTCCGAAGTTGATGATGTCCACATTCACTTTCTCCTTCTTCAGTCGCTTGGCTAGTTTCACCAGCTGTAAACAAAGGAGGCATTTGGAGTGCCAGGAGGGCATCACAGCTCTTCCATGGGGCAACCTGAACCAAGGCCAGGGGCTCCGTTTGGGAATACTACAGGCCCCCCTGAAGACTCCCAGGAATGCTGGGACTTGTTAGCTCAGCAGTTTATTCCTGGAGTTTATCCTATTTAAACTCTCTCTCTCAGGACTGTGGCTTCTACGTTTTTAAGATGACGTATTCTGTCACTTTGGTGTCACTCACGTCTTTCTCATTGTCTTCCACCGGGCTCCCAACGAAGGCAATGATGCGCATTTTGTGATTCTTCCCCTGGCGATGCTTCAGAGCCAGCTTTGGGGAGGAAGAGAGAGTGTTAGAGGAGGGGCTGTGGCCCACTTTCACTTCCCTCTTTCTGTCCTAACCCCTGATCTAAGTGGAGAGATTGCAGAGGAAGGGATTACAAGAGAGTAAGTTATGCTGGCGGGGGAATTCTGGGAGTTGAAGTCCACAAGTCTGTGGCCACGTTTGAAGACCTCCGATCTTGGCAAATACTCACCAAGTTCAGAAAGGGGGAGGAGGGGCTGCCTAGAATTCCCCCCCTCCTGGCCCCCATCCTTCATTTACTGGATGATGCCACCCAGTTTGAAATGCTGCCCATATACTAAGCAGAGAACCGCCCCATAGCTCTCTGGAAGTTTGCTCAAAGCTTCTGGCCCTGAGCAGGCAGAGCTGAAGTCTCACAGATCCCAGCAGGCACAGCCGGGGGGTGGTTCAATCCAGGCAGAGAGGGAGAGACCTGGGGGTGAGGTGGGGGGGGGAGAGGCGCCTTACATGAGCCACTCGGATGCCGGTGCAGAAGGTGATCCTCCCTCTGGGCTGCACCGAATGCAGCTTGGACAGGATGCGGCCGGTGTCCGGCGTCAGGGTGGTCAGCACCTCACAGTTGCTGCAACACAAACCGGCTAAAGGGTTAGAGAAAGCCTCCCTTCCAAAGCAGAACCCCCCCCCCCCAGGGAGATCCCGGAAAGGCAAAGCCAAGCAGGAGGAAGGTCCCTCAGAGGTCATCCAGTCCACCCCCACCTTTCCAGTTGCAGGCCAGGTACCAAAAAAAAAAGCAGACCTGCTGGGGGAGGGGGGAATCTAGTGGAGACAAGGCAGGACATTATAGAACCCCAGGGGGCTCAAAGGCCCTCCACTCCACCCTCAGAGACCATCCAGTCCACCCCCTTTTCCAGTTGCCACACAAGACAGGCCAGGTTCAAAAGCCACCTCTCCAAAGACTTGACAGGTAGGGGTGTGTGTGTGTCTGTCTGTGAAAGACAAGCCAAGCAGAGGAAGGGCCAGGGAGGTCATCCAGTCCACCCCCCCCCTTTCCAGTTGCAGTCCAGGTGCCAAAAAAGCAGACCCAGGGAAGAGAAGGGGGGGATCAAGGCATGATAGAAACCCCGGGGGGGGGGGGTTTCTCGAAGGCTCCACCCCCCAGAGGCCATCCAGCCCACCCCCCACCAGGGCGAGCGGGCGGGCGGAGGGACGCACTTGGCCAGCGTGATGAGCCCCACGTTGTTCTCGGGGTTGGAGCGGGTCTTGGAGTGGCAGACGATGTTGACGGCGTCCTGCTGCGCCTGCAGGCGGGTGGGCAGGAAGTCCCCGTTCCGCATGTACTCGCTGTTGTCCACGCTGGGGATTGGGGGGAGGGTCAGACGATGTTGACGGCGTCCTGCTGCGCCTGCAGGCGGGTGGGCAGGAAGTCCCCGTTCCGCATGTACTCGCTGTTGTCCACGCTGAGGATTNTGACGTCAAAGGCGGGACGCCTTCTCTGTCCCAGTGCCTGGGAATCCCCCAGCTGCTTTTGCTTCCTGCTGTTCCCCTCCTGGCAATCCCAAACTGGGGTTTTTTTTGGGGGGGGGAGGGAGGAGCCCCCCTCCCAAGCCCTGGATCCTTCCGCTCGTCTCCCTGCGAGGATTGGAGAAGAATCACCCACCGCTTCGTGCCCTCGGGGGCAGCTCCTAATCCGGCCTCTTCCGCCCCTCTAAAGACGCCCCTTTCCCTGCCCGCGGCTGCTGACGCCTGGGACCCCCCTTGGCCGCCCAGAAGTAAAAGCAGGTAGACAGAACTCAGGTGAGTTTTGGAGGCCTCCTGGGAGGGCAGAGGGCTTGGAGGGCCAGGGACACAGGGGCAGCCTGGAAGACAGCTGAGCCGATGGGGAGCGTAAAGTGGCTTCCTCGTCACCCACACTGCCCCACATCTCAGGGACCAGGCTAGGAGAAGTGCCCACCCACCACCCGCCAAAGGGATGAGGAACCCAAGGAGAAAGAGGGCTGTTCCCATCACCAGCCCTGCACTGTGAGCAAAGGAGGAGGAGGAGGCTCCAAAAGGTTGAAAACACAATAGAAGGGAAGCAGAATTGGGGAGGGAAGGAAGGGAGTTGGGAGAGAAGGAAGGACGGATGGCAGATACAGAAAAGGGAAGGAAGGAAGGGAGGGAGATATAGAAAAGGGAAGGAAGGGAGGGAGATACAGAAAAGGGAAGGAAGTTTCTTGTGTAAACTTTTCAGGTTCCACCAACCGTTCCTTGACTTTCCTGAACACAGAAACCCAACAGGTAAAAAGGCCAAACTCCCCTGGGCATTCCCCCCCCCCCGTCCTCGGGGTCTCCAAGCCCCCCTCCCCTCCACAATCTCAGGCATCTCTCTGGGCAGAGGAAGGGGGCCACTTACGGATAGAGGCGGCTTCTGCTGGAACATCCCGGCCCAGATCCAAGGGCCCCCCCCCTGGGGCCCAGAGAGCCTCAGAGCAGCCCCCGGGCGGAGAATCAGAAGAGAAGGAAGCTACACATGCTCCGGAGAGCACAGCTGCATTTGGGGGGGGGCGCAAAGAGACCCTTTTGAGGGACTCCCAGATGGCTCCTTTGCCACCGTCCGACAGTCCGAAGCACCAAGGTCCAAAATCTCCCAGAGGACGAAGGAAGCCGCGAGAGAGAGATCCCGAGCAGCGGCAGGGATCGAGCGAGAGGCCTTCAAATCCCTGGGATCCGCTCCGCCCGTGTCTGCCCGTAGGAACCTGCCTCCCAAGCCGCACCTGGGCCTTTTCTGCCGAGAGCGATTGGGGTGACTCAGAGGCTGGGGAATGCGAGGAGGAGGAGGCAGGCGGGCCGGCCGGGGAGGAAGGGGGAGGCCCTCGGAGGCACCAACGCCCGCCTGCCCACCCCACCCACCCACCCGCCTACCTTCTTGTAGGTAGTCTCTCCGCTGGAGTCCACGCTCCGGTGGCCCTTCTTGATGGTCTGCGAGGACCCGTGCCCGGAGGAGCCTGGCACCTGGGAGCAGGAGAGAAGGCGCAGGGTTTCCAACCCTCCCACCCACCCCCAAAAAATCGGAGCGCCTCTCCCCACTCGGGTGGGGGCAGCACCAGCCCTTCAGCAGGGAGGGGAGGGGGAGGGGGAATGAGACACACAGCTCTTGAGGTGCGTGGGACGAGGCCAGCAGGGCCCCACCTGAAGGCCGGGAGCCCCCCCAGGCTTGGCAGCTGCTTCGGAGGCACCCTGAGAGGCCCGAAGCTGGAGAGCAGGTGGGCCCCTGCCTTTATGGGGAAGGGGAGGCGGCTCGGCTCAGCAGCCCCTTCCCTCCTTATTTTGCCAGCCTCTCTCCCGTGCGCAGGAATGCTTTCCTCCACGTTTACAACAGGGTGCAAAGTCAGAAGGTTGCAGGTGGCGATCCCAGGCTGCTCCCTTCAACACCCCCCCCCCGCCAAAAGAAGGCTGAGTGGTGGCTACTTTGGGCACCAGCCCCCCCTGGGTGGGCAGATTGTTTTGTTTTTAAGTTAAACGACTGCATAGAAACTCACCTCCAAGGACTTCTTGAAGGTTGCAGCGGAGAGAGCCCCTGGAAGGGAAAAGAGGAGGGGGTGAGACCCCTGGCAGGCACCCACAGAGGAGGGCAGAGACTGAGCTGATCCAAGTCCTTGCAGGGGTGATTGACCCGAGGGAGGGGGGAGGCTGGGGAAGAGATGTCCTTCAAGAGGGGGGATTCGCAATCCATCAAGCCCAAAGGCTCTTCGGTTCACCCTGGACTCTGCTTTTGCTCACCTCTGCCTTGCGGGGAGAAGTGGAGTGGGGGGAGAGGAACCTGCTAGGGGTCTGCCCCCCCCCCATGTCCTCCTTCCTGCCCCTGGCGGCTCTCCCTGGCACCCCCGCAGGGCGATTCTCCAAACCCCACAGGGTTCCTGCACAGGGGAGCCCGTGCGTCATTCGGGGCCGAGTCCCCCAGATGCCCGGGGCTCAGGGCCAAGGGGTGGACCCAGCCTCAAGAAAAGTCCTGCGGCTGCCTGCAATCTATCCGGCCGGCCCTCCACTCTGCCCCCAGGGAGGCCTGCAGGAAGCAGCCACTGGCTCCCCCCTGCCAGCTGCCCCGGGGGTCTCTGGCCGAGGGGGAGAAATGCCAGGCCCACTTCGGCCAGGATTTGGCCCTCTCTGCTCTGTTAACACCCTCCCCCCTTCACCCAGGTGGGCCTGGCCCCCCCTTCACTCAGCTCCCTGTTAAAGGGCACCCCTTAAGAGGAAGGGTCTCCAAGTGGGATTCTGGAAGCGAAAGTCCAGAAGTCTTCAAAGTAGCCAAGGCTGAAGACCCTTCCTCTAAGGCCGCGGTCTTCAAACCTGGCCACTGTAAGACTTGTGGACTTCAACTCCCAGAATCCTCCTGGCTGAAGGATTCTGGGAATTGAAGTCCAGAAGTCTTAAAGTGGCCAAGTTTGAAGACCCCTCCTCTAAGGGGGGGGGCAGGGGAACGGCGCCCTCTAGTGGGCCAGGACAGCAGGCACTGAAGGGAACATGGACGTAGTTAAGAGCAGAGAGGCAACAGGCGTCATTGCATCGGCCCTCCAAACCCTGACAGGCCTTTCTCTGGGGCTGCCCGAGGAGATCAAGACGGGCCCTTTGGAGGGTCTTTTGGGGGGAGGGGGATGACCGAGAAGATGCGGGATCAGTCAAAGTGGGTAGCTGTAGCAATTGGAATTAAACGACGACGGTTCGACTTGTGATTCTGCTCTCCGCTTTGGGGAAATGCGCAAAGGCCCCCGAGGGTTGCTTGCTTGCAAGGCAGGGGGCAGGTGGGCTTGATGACCTCAAGGGCCCCTCGGCCATGAACACCGGACAGTCACGGCGCCACACAAAAAGCGGAGCTGTAGGACGTCTTCACCAGACAGGTGGCTTTGCCCTCTTCCTTTGGCTCCGGAATTCAGTCCGCAGCCGCTTGTGGGGAGGGGGGCTGGTGGGGGCCACTCTCCAGGCCCTGGAGGGGAGGGGAGGCTTCACCCTTGGTGCGGCAGCACACACGGGGGGGGGTGGATATTTAGCAGAGGGGACCCCCCCTTTCGTCCCCATCTTCTCCCAGGCATCTGCTTCTCAAAACCCCTTGCAGAGACCTTCTTCTTGGCCGTCTCCGGTTTGGCCCGGAGGAGAACCGGGGAGAAGGGCCTGGCCAGGCCCAGCCGCGTGGGGCTCCAGCCCCCAAGCGGGGAGACGTGCTGCAAAGCAGGAGAAGCTCGGCCAAACCATGCGCTGGTTACAAAAAAGCCCGAAAGGAGAAAACGGCACCCATGCCTGCGGCGAGAGGCGGCTGAACCGCTGCTGGGTTAGCTCCATTTCGATGTAAGGGAGGGGGGGGCAGGTTAGTCGCCCATTTTTCTCTCGGGGGGTTTAATTCCACGGCTCTAGCAAGCTTGGGAAGAGGCCAGCAAGGCTAAACCCCGGGGGAGAGAGAGAGATTTCATTGTCTCTTTGACGCTCGGAAGGCCTCCGTCTTTCCATCTCCAAAATGGGGGTCAGGGGGGTTTCTGAGATCAGCCCCCAGACCCTGCCGCGGAGTTAAGGCCGAAGGGGCCCGAGTGCGAGGCTGGGGGCTCTTTTTAAGACCGGAAGGGGGGAGGAAGCGAAGCAGCTGCTTCATGTCAAAAAACCAGCCCTGGCCAGGAGGGGGGAAAAAATGCCAGTGCATCACCCGGTCACTTCCACGCCACCACGGCAGGCAGTGAGGGGCCAGGCGGGTTAGCGGGTCATGCTCAGAGGCCACGGTTTTACCCAAACGTCTCCGTCTTCCAGGGGGCACCACGGAGCAGCAGAGGAAGCTAAAGGCTGGCAGAGAGGAGAGAGAGAGAGAGAGAGAGAAAGAGAGAAAGAAAAGAGGAAGCAATAGAAATTTTCCCGGAAGGAAAGAGGTGCTTTGGGATCACGAAGGACGGAGGTTCAGCTCAGGAGGAAGGGAGGGGAGTCTGTCCANTGGGCGATATGAACTTCCTCCTCCCCAAAAAAATATTCAGGGAGGTTGGGCAGAGGGTCCACTACATATTCTCTGGCCAGGCGTTGAGAAGGGCCCTTAGGTCAAAGGTCTCCAGCTTTGCTCTTTTAAGACCTCTGGACTTCAACTCCCAGAATTCCTTTGCCATCACCAGCTGGCTGGGGAATTCTGGGAGTTGAAGGGTTAAAAATGAGCAAAGTTGGGGACCCCTGCTAGATAAAGACTGCCCCAAGACACAGTAGGGAGGAGAGAGCAGCAGTTCAGATACCCCACCCTTTTTTTTGCTTCTGACCTGCAGTTCCCCCCCCCCCCCTTCCCACTTTATGCCCCAAAGTCTAAAACGATGCAGTCTGAGAATCGATTTCCCTGGGAGGGGAAGAGACAGGCACCACCAACGCAGAGACTTGAAATATAAGTTTATAAATTACATACATTTGTGGCAGGAAAACTTCCAAACCGGTCTAATGTAGACATTTCTTTTTTAACATGTGTGTAACCGTTTGGGGGAGAGATTCAAAGGCTCAAGTTTAACAAGATGACACCCCCCACCTCCAAAAAAATAGGGGGGCTCTCAAGGCAGATCCCATAAGTCACAACCAGCCATGTGATTTATACATTAGTATGCTTTTGGAGGTGTAACAGATGCACTGCTCCCTTTCAACATTCTTTTTCCTCAAAAATAGAATCGGCCTTTTATTTTACCCTGATCTCACCTTCATTGAGGGCCTGAGTCGCCCCCTTTCCCTGCAGCCAACATTCGATGCTAGCCTGTTTTCTCGTCAAACGCTTCACAAAAATATCTATAAAACTCACTGGGAACATAACTGTCGTTTTTTTCGTCTTCCTTGCTCTCCCTTCCAAATATGGGCCGGGAGGAACAAAAAAACACATGTCTTCTCCCTCCCAGATAAGTGATATGTCCCTCTCGACAGCACCCTAAAACCTTTCCTGAACAGCCTCCACTTCCGAGAATTCTTCCCTGCGGAGCCTTTAACCCGGGCCAAAAAAACGTGCTTGGAGCAGGGAAAGCCACGTTGCCCTCTCTGAACGCAACCCAATGCTTGAAAGGGGGTGAGGGGGGCATCCCTCCATACGTGCAAAAGAAGTCGGGGTGACCATTCTTACAGATTGCTAAAAAAAAAAGGAGGTCGAAGGCAGAGCTAGAAAAACCCTGAAGTTTTTACAAGCGTCTCAAAAAAGGGGTTTAATACTGAAATCTCCCATCGCCACAAAGCCGGGAGGCGGTGAAGTTTGGTCCGTCAGTGCAATACTGAAAACCACTGGAAAACTGTACTTGGCAGCATTGAGCGAAGCAGCTGCGCCGGGACTCCGGCTCCCATCCCTCTGGGCGAGCCTGGCAGGGAGGCCCGGAGGTCACGGTCGGCAAAGGTGGGTGGGCTGGTGGGGGCCAACCAATCGAGGCCCACAAGTGTCCTGGAGCAGGGAGATGGGTGCAGGGGAGGCTCCGGACCCCCCTTCCACCACGATACAGCACTGAAAAGGGGGCTCCCCTCTCCCCCGCAGATACAGGCCGGCTAAGAGGATCCCGGCCTTTCCAAAAAGGCCCCCCTCCCCAATATGGCAATGTAGGAGAGAAGAAAAATCACTATACTTTAGGAAAGCTAATAGTTTGTCTCTTGAAATCTTCTCCAAGTGGGGCAGCCTCCGTCTCCACAACCCCCCAGGAGGAAGCGAGTATGGAATGGTCGTTGTGGGGAGCTTGGGGAGAGGGGCTGCGCCAGCACTCCTCTGGACGCCTCCCTCCTCTGAAGCCCCCCTCCCCCAAGGCTGGGCCGCTCCGTCCTCTGCCCCAGGCTGGAGGGGGCTGGAACGCCTTTCCGTGTGAGCCCCTGCGCCCCCGGAGCTGGGCCGCCTGGGAGGGGGGGTCCAGGTGGGCTCTGCTCAGTCCAAAGGAGTTTGTGGTGTCAGCAGTTCCAAGGGGCGGTGGGGCTGGTCCACCCCTTCCAGACCCCCCCGTCACAAAGAGACAGGCCATGCAGAGTGTGGAGAAGATCTTCTGCTCGCGTTCCTCCCCCAGGAGGAGAAAAGGACACTTTCACTGGAAGAACAAGGAGGAGGGAAGGAGACTCAGATCTGGGTGCTTGAAACGGGGCTCCTGCCAGTCCTGGGGAGCGCAGGGACCCTTCCCCCCTCCGTGTATTTCCCCCAAACCGGGGGGGAGGTGGGGCTGAGAAGGCGGGAAAGAGACTCACGCAGTTGATTTCTGTTTCGGCCAAATCTCCAAGTGGCTGGATCAGCTCAGAAGGATGTCCTGTGACGGAAGGGCTGGGGGAAGCACTGGAGGAGGGTGGGGGGAAGAAAGCAGAGGATGAGTGGGGGGGGGGGAACCTCCACCAACCCCCAACCCCATCACTGGACCAGAGTGGGTCTTTGCAACATCCCTGGCACAAGGGAGGAGGAGGAGGAGGGGCTGCCCAAGACCCACAGCAGTCAACGGGATTTGCCTTAAGCTGTTTGGGGCAGGGGGGAGGCTGAGAAGACCATCTCTCTCTCTCTCCTCTCTCTCTCCTTCTCTCTCTCTCCTTCTCTCTCTCCTTCTCTCTTTCTCCTTCTCTCTCTCTTTCTCCTTCTCTCTCTCTCCTTCTCTCTCTCTCTGTCTCACTCACACACCTTGTGCCATCGAGAGGCGCAATCCGAGTGCGCCGGAAAAGCTCTTTCCAAGCTGCAGAGAAGGATGTGGCGTTTCCTGGATGAGAGCGACCCTCTTTGGCCAGAAGGGCAGGACTGGAGGGGGGGGGGGTTGGCCA